CTATGAGGTGGATTGATTCAGTGACTGGGGTAATGGAGATGGGTGTATCGGAGACAGTGTGATTGGCACAGGATAGAGCAGAGTTTAGGGATTTTGTACATAGGGTCGCTATGAGTCGCAAGCGACTCGATGGCACATAAAACAACAAGGATGAATCTATTTGTTTTCTTAGCAGTCCATGGTACCCTCAATACTCTTATCCAGCACCACAGCTCAAAGGCAGCAATTCTCCTTTTATCTTCCCTAGTCACTGTCCAAGTCTCTGACGCATAATAAGTGATTTTAAGACTATGGCCTGTATCAGACGCACCTTAGTCTCCAGAGAGACACTCTAGAGACAGAAAATAAATCAGTGATTGCCTAAAACTTGAAGGATGGGGAAAGATGCAGAAGGACTAATGGTCACTGGATTTCTTCTTGGCAGGATAAAAAAGTGCAAAAAAGGACAAAAGTGATGGCTACAAAAATTCATGAACATACTGTCACTAAATTGTATACTTTGGAAGTGTGAGTTTTATGGTACATAAATCAGATCTCAGAAAAGTTCTTATTCATAAAAACACTTGAAAGTACTTCTATTGGCCACATCTGAGAAATTCAAGCCACAAAATCAATATAGAGAACATTTACAGCAGAATTATAAAATCACAAAATCATGATAGTAATAATCATCTCAGGTCACAATTATGAATAGATGCTAAAATTAGGGAATAAAAAATGTGTCTATGCACAACACCCTAAATACAAAGGAGCAAATATGTTACAATGACAAGCTCTTGCTTACAGCACACTAATCAACCAACCAAAATTACCAAATGTAATAGAAGAAAAGGATATTCTATATCTCCTAAAACACTGGGGAAAACATACTATTACATCTATAATAGTCTTTAAAAAATGTTTAGTATATATTTAATCAACAAAAAACATTAAGTAAATTAAAATTGAGACATTCAACAAGATAACTGATTTACAGTCTACAGCAATAAGGTCATGAAGAACAAGGAGGAAGCTTGTTCTAGAATAATGGAGGCAAAAAGAGACATGACATTTAAAGGAGGCACCTCTGTAATCCTGGACTGGACTTTAGATTTTATAAAGGACATCTGTGGTATAGAAGTAAAAATCTAAACAAGGTCTGTACATTAGAAAAAATAATTTTACCCTGTTTGTTGTTTTGGTTTTAGTGTCTTGGTTTGGCGGTGTTTTTTTTTCCTTGTTGTGTACTATTGAATCAGATCCGACTAGCACAGGAAGAGATTTACCCCTCCTCCAGTGGAACATAGGGTGGATTCGAAATGTGCACCTTCAAGATTGCAGTGCAGCGTCTTATCACTACGCCACCAGAGCTCCCTTTTTACCAAGGTTTAATGTTCTGATTGTTGGTCAATTAACTGATATATAGGAAAATGCCTTTGATTTTAAGAAATATACACTGGATTACATAGAAATAAAAAGTGATCTTATAAGCAACTTACTTTCAAACTATTTAGGAAACAGAAACCAAATACGCATGTATATATGTAGGTATCTATTCAGACATGATTTTGTCTTGTACATACAGTTTTAAATCTTTACAAGAGGAAACTGCCTATTTTTTTTAATCGGACACACCACCACACTTCTGAGTGGCAGCCCAGCACATAATGGACTAAGCCACAAGGGCTCCACATCTCTCCCTCTAAGAATGTTGTTGTTGTTGTTATGTGCCATTGAGTCGCTTGCAACTCATAGCGACCCTATG